CTCTCTCTCTTAAAAAAATATTTTATTGTATTTTTGCTGAAAGTTTACATAGCTCTTTAAGTTCTCATTCAGAAGTTTCTAGATAAGATGGTCTGTGACATTGGCTATATTCTTTATAATATGTGAGCATTTTCATTTTCTAATTATGTCCTGATGATTGTTCCATTTTCATTAGTCTAGTTTCTCACTTATCTTAAAATCAGTGGGTTTTAAAAAATTAAATTGTGATTTAATGAAAGTTTAAAGAAAGGATGGGTTCTCCTTCATTCATCAATACATATCTTTCTCCCTCCCCCTCCCACAATTCACTTTGTCATGCATATCTTATTCCAGATTGTTAATTGTCATGCATCATATATATAATGTCTAATCATACTTTCCTTTTAGATAGGCCTTCCTTTCTCCTATTCCAGCATAGCATTTCTCATTTATCCATTCTTTTCATGCTCTCCCCTCCCATGTCCATCCTGTTTTTCTAACAGTGTTATTATACAGTATTTGTCCTTTTGTGACAGAGATATTTCACTAAACATAATGTCTTCCAGACTCATCTATGTTCTGTAGTGTTCTGCAAGCTCACTGTTTTTCAGTGCTGCATAATAATCTATTGGTGGATGTACTACAGTTTTTCTATCCATTTGTATGTTGATATAAAAGTAATTGTTGATTGGTTATATCCTAATATCTTCTAAACTATTACATTAAAGGGCTACCTGTAAAAAAAAAAACACCCAAAAAACAAAACAGAAATCCTCCAAACCACAAGTTGCCTCCCACCACCCCTAGTCTCTATTTCACAAAAAAATCTTTATGCCTCCATTACCTCTGCACAATACCCTCTAAAATAAGAAACTCTCAGAGGACTTAAACCCATAAGCCACCATCTCCTCAAATCCTGCCTATTTGCACATTCCCCACCCCCCTTACCTCTTCTGTTCTAGGAGTAAAATAATCAATGATCAATATCATTTGGTCTAGGATCTCCACAAAATCAACGCAGCTATTATCCCCATTCATCCAGTTGTTCCTAACCTTTATACTCTTCTGTCACAAATTCTTCCTTTAACTTCCCATACCATAGTCTTCTATCTCAAAGATGCATTTTTTACAATACCTCTCCACCCTTCATCACAGCCCTGTTTACATTCACCTGGGAAGACCCAGACACACATACATCATCTCAACTCCCCCAAGATCTTGGGGACAGTCCCCATTATTTTAGCCAAGCTTTTACAAGACCTTCTCACCTTAAACCTTGCCCCTAGTCATATTATTCAATATGTAGATGATCTCTCTGTGTAGTCCCTCTGAAACCATATGCCAAGCTCATACTATCACACTGTTAAATGCTCTTGCCTCTTGGGGTTACAGAGTATCCCAAGAAAAAGCTCAATTACTTTCACCCCCAGTATATCTCAGTCTCCTCCACACTCCACACTTCTGATCCATCTTCCCACCCCAATTGTCTTACCCCCTTGTTGCAAGCTCCACTCCCTACAACTAAAAAAGAATTGTCTTCTCGGTCTTTTTAGTTATTTTAGAATATGGCTCCCTAATTTTTCTTTCATTGCCCAACCACTTTAAAAAGCTGTTAAAGGAAATCTTGAAGAACCCCTCCCTCTTCCTGCCTTCTCCTTCTTATCAGTCATGAACCAATTAAAAATTCCCTTTGAAAAGCCTCCAGCTTATATCTCCCAAACCCTACAAAACCCTTCCTTCTGTTCTGACTTTTCCTTCTTTTTCCTTTGTCCTTAGACAGAGGACAGGCCGTTGGGGTCCTTTGCTAAAAGACAGGAGACACTTTCCACCCAATGCTTATTTCTCCAAATAAATTAGACCAAACTTACCTAGGCTGGCCACTTTGTTTAAGCATCCTGGCTAAGGCAGCAGTCTTAATCCCCAAAGCCAACAAAATAACTCTATTAACCACTCACTGAAATCACTACTCACTCTCTTCAAGATTTCCTCAATCATAGGGCTTTTCGCTCTATTTCTCATCCAATTCCTGCACTCATACTTCCTGGACCTGGCTATAAAATTCCAGCAGTGCTCTTACCTAAACCTAGCCACTCTCCTTCCCCGCCCCCACACTGAGGATTCCTCTACTGCTCTCCACTTGAGCACAGAAGTCCTAGATCTATCCCCTTAATCACTCTCATATTATTGATGAATACATACCAGATGCTCCAGACTGGTTCATTGATGGGAGTGCCCATTAAAAAAAAAAAAGTTCCAAGCAGCGTATATTATTATTGAAAGGTTTCAGGACCCAGCTCTAAACATCCCCCTCCCCCACAAAGCCCAACTCCCTCCCAAAACCACTTCCCAGCAGGTGGAACTTGTCATTTTAACTAGGGTGTTCACCTTAGGCAAAGGTAATAAATAAAGTCAACATCTATAGGGACTCAAGAATGCCTACAATGTACTTCACTCCAATATCCTCATACAGAGAAGAGGGTTTCTTACCCAAAAAGGAACTCACATCATCAACGCTTCATTCAAGAACTTTTAGAAGCCACCCTCCTGCCCCAGCAAGCAGTAGTAATTCACTGTAAGGGACATCAAAACACTTGGGACTACATCTCAAACTCCAATAATACGGTAGACTCATTAGCAAAGCAAGCAGCCCTTGGAAGCCCCATACCATACTGTCAGGCCCAGAACAAGGTCAAAGAGAAGAATGAAGAATTCGAAAAATATCAACATGTCAACAAAAGGAGTGAACAACCTCGCTCACCTGGCTAAACCACAATGGAGTGTCCCTCTCTTCCCTCCCTAAAGACCCTTACTGTAAAAACCTGCCCAACTCACCTAAGGGTGTGATTTTCCCCTGGTCTATCTCTCTCTCCAGAACAAGGAATCCCAGGAGCTCCCTTAATAAAGCTTTTTTAACTTTCTCTTTCACTCTGGTCCCTTCCTTTAGTTCTTGACCTTACATCCAATGGGAAGACCTAACACATTCCTCTTCATAGCTTAGACCACTACCACACCAGATGAATGGGCTCTCCATAACAATAAATTACTGCTCTCACCAGATCAGGCAAACACAATTTAAGAATACCTCCATAATCCGTTCCACTCGGATAAAGCTGCTCTCTATACATTTCTAAACTCCCAGCTCTACCTAACACCCTCAGACAAGTCAATTCTACAGGATACCTCCCAGACTTGTTCCATATGTCAACACTCAAATCCCACCCCCAACATTCGACCCCCTCTTTTTCCTATTCATCAAACAAGAGGAGCATTACCTGCTTGTGACTGGCAAACTGATTTCACCTCCATATAAATGTTCAAATATCTCCTAATATTTGTAGACACTTTCTCTGGTTGGATTGAAACTTACCCCACAACCAACAAAAAGGCCTCTACAGTAGTTAGCTTCCTCCTCTCAGAAATCATACCACAATTTGGCATGCCAGTCTCCTTACTGTCAGACAAGAGCCCCGAGTTGACATCAGCCCTCACTCAGAGTCACACAAGCTCCACAAATTCCCTGGAAACTCCACACACTCCCTCCGACTCCTATCATCTGGCAAGGTAGAATGAACCAACAGCACAATAAAAAACGTTCTGACTAAACTAACTTCCCAAATTCACTTAGACTAGACCAAATTATTACCCCTAGCCCTCCTCAAAATTTGAGCATTACCCAAAAAGCCTCTCCACCTAAGCCCCTTCGAACTTCTCTGAGGTGCTCCTATTTAACTCTGCATACAAAACAGGACCTATTTCTTACCAGAGGTCCTCTCAATCAAATGCCCCAGGTTTGGCCTTCAAAGCATTACATATTTTCCAAAAAGCCCTTAAATTTTTCCCTAAACTTCCCCCTGCTCCCAGGTGCCCAGCATCGGGCCTATTGCCTGAGGGTTCACACAAACCATCCCTAACCTGCACCTATCTAGGCAGTACTCAGTTAATGAGGATGAGGGAGGGACTTGTGACCTAGGGAGATAAAAACTCTTGGCAGACAATGGAAGGCGCCATCCTGCTTCTTTGTCAGTGATTGAGCACCCGCTTTTGCAAATTCACTTAATAAAGCCTCACTTTCTGGTGGCCTGGTGAAAAGAATCTGCACTGCAATACCTAAAGCAGTCAGTTCAAATCCTCTAGCTGCTCCAGAACAGAACAACTGGGCAATCTCTTCCTATAGTATTACTGCCTCTGAAAATGCGCTAGAGGGGATCAGTTCCAGCTCGATGGCAAATACAACTTGCTAAACTGAGTTTGGATCTGATTTGACGAGTGCTTGTGAGGCCAGTATCTGGGTACTGTATCAGCAAAGCCATACAAGATAGGGGGCCAGGAAGGCACCGTACCCAGCTGGAGGGGCGGGGGGCCGGAGAGTGGCCTTAGTCGGAGGATAGTCTTGCCAGGTTGCCAAAAGAGCAGAGCCAGTGTCCTAGGTCCTGACAGCGTTTGTCACAGGGTCAGAAGGACACCGCAGACGCCAAGGGACCCGGACTGCATTGACTAATGGGGCTTCTCACATCACAGCTTCACAGCTGATGTGAGAACGGCCATTATTAAAAATGAATTGATACCAATTATTAATGTCTTTGCGGGTGCCCTGCCGTAAAAGTTGTGGGAACTCTTAAAGGATGACTTTTGGGAAGAGACAACAGCGATCAACAGCGCCGGCAGCTCTGCAGCCAGATTAGGGACTCTGGCGGGCGGCAAAAGGCGGAGCCGCCATCGGGTGACGGGGTGGAGAGTGCCTGGAAGAGGTGGAGTGGAGCGCGGGATAAAAGGAGCGGGAGGACCACCGCCTGGGGCCTGAGCCAGGACAAAGAGACCTGACGAGGGCGACTGGGATAAATGTGAAGGGGGCCGAGATGGGAGCGTGGCGGCCCGCCGGCGGCAAGGCAGGACTGTGGGGCTTGGAGGACGGAGTCAGGCGGTGGGGGTGGAGGAAGCTGCGTGCCGCGGAGGTTGCCGTTCCTTAACGCCGGGACCTACCCGCAGCCTCCGTCCGGTCCGGCCCCGCGCTTACGGGAACCATGGGCATCTTGTCCTCCAAGCGCCGACAGGCCGCGTCCCCCACCCCGGAGCCGGGACCTGTGGTGGCGCTGGACTTGAGCCGCCTGCCGCCCGAGCTGCTGTTGGTGGTCCTGAGCCACGTGCCTCCGCGCTGGCTGCGCGCAAGCTGTCGCCGCGTGTGCCGGGGCTGGCGCGCCCTGGTGGACGGCCAGGCCCTGTGGCTGCTCATCCTGGCCCAGGACCCGAGCCCCGCGGGCCGCGCCCTCCTCGCGCTCGCCCGCAGCTGCCTGCCCGCCGCCCCGGACGCCTTGGGTCGCTTCTGCGAGCGCAGACCCATCGGCCGGAACCTCATCCGGAACCCCTGCGGCCAGGGTGGGGTGCTCGCGGGGACGGGCTCCAGGCACGGGGAGGCTGGGCCGCCGGGGACGCACGAGAAAGAGCGGGGAGGGCTGGGTTGGTTTTAGTTTCCTTGGCTGCAGCGATCTCTCACCTCCTTGATCCTCCTGGTGTGGCCCTAGCAAAGGATGTTCCGGGCTTGTCCTCCTATTACAGAGAAGTCGAGGGGCGAGTGGGGTCTGACTGGACCCCAGCAGGGACACGCAAGCAGGCTCCTAACCCAGCATCCCTACCCCCGTCTTTCCCCGCTTCGAACGCCAGCAAGCTGAAGGACTGCCCGAAGAGGCAGGCATGGACTCTGGGTGTTAAACCCTCAAGCGGCCATCGGGAACGCATAAGGGGCAGCTGGGACTGTTGCGACCCAGGCCTCTCCCTCCGCCACCTTTGAGAGTGGAGTAGGGATGAGAGGAGGAGCCGACACAGGGAGGATGAACAGGTGGAGTCGCTTCAGAGTCCTGGCGACCCCAGGTGTGCAGAGTAGGGCTACTCCAGGTCTGGGACTTGGGGAAAACAGATCTCCTGGGCCGTCTCCCCTGGCAGACATGAGTGCAAGGCCTTTCCTTTAACAGAAGGCCTTAGAAAATGGATGGTGGAGCATGGTGGCGATGGCTGGGTGGTGGAGGAGAACCGAAGAATTGTTCCTGGGGCCCCTGCCCAGTCCTGTTTTGTGACTTCCTTCAGGTGAGCCCCTCTGGCACACAACCACCCTACCCCACATAACCCCCAATGGCTGGCCCCTTTGTGGCTGCACAGTGTGCTCTCATATCCCCTCATCCACTGCCTTCCTAGGTGGTGTCGGAAGAAGCAGGTCTTGGACTTGAAGGAGGAGGGCCTGTGGCCAGAGCTGCTGGATAGTGGCCAGATTGACATTTATGTCTCAGACTGGTGAGTGTGGGTGTTTCCCTGTGCAAAGAACTGGCCACACACATTAGCTGAGGCAGTGGACGGGGTGACAACAGCCCCGGATTGAGAGACTGAAGTCACTTCATCTTATTTAACCCACTGCGTTCTAGCAGAGTCCGACTGGAAACTGGAAATCTTTAGGAACTGCCTACCCATCTTTGTCACAGGAAGCAGCTGGTGTATTCTAGGGTTGACACACATGCAGTGTACTGTGTCCCAGTGGACATCCCTTGTCTCTCAGAGATGATCACGGTGGCCAAGTGAGGCATAGTGAGCTAAGTGTTGGACTGCTAAAGTGGAAAAAGTTGCATGAGAGCAGCTTTGGTTTAGCCCAAGCTTGTCTGTGAGCTTGATACTCTGCCTTTTTCTTGCTACTGTTTTGTGCCGTGAGTCAATTTTCAACAGAGAGTGTCCCCACTATCCCGTAGGATTCCTGTTGTTGTGTGCCCTTGAGTTGGAATGACTCATAGCGACTCTCCGCTGGCTTTT